ATTATTTACAGTCACTGTGTCCCAGTGCGCTGGGTTGATGACGTCCCCGAAATGAGATCAGGAAAGAATATTATGTCAAGCCCTGCAGGCGGATGTGTTATCCGACATAATGATTAAGGATCTGAGTGGTACTAGTTTCGGAAATGAATAAGAAGTTGATTAATTATTTTGTCAGTAATTTAATTAATCAACGGACGTTATATCTTAAACATGGGGAGATAAATCGATCAATTGGATTAATATATTTAATCAGTGCAAACGAATTAATTGTAATTCAGAGCTAAATGGGGAGAGCAAAAATATTACTCTAGTGGAATGTTTCATTATTTAATTCCAAGATTAGGAATTCGGAATAAATTTTATTCCATATTAATTAATTTAATTAGGAAAATAATATTCCTACTAGGATCTTCTCTAGGGATTAGGAGACTACGAGAGTCTTCTAGAAGATGAAGATTAGTAGGAGATATATTTCCTACATTAGATTATTAATTGGAGTAGAATTAGGTTTCCTAAATTAGGAATTAATTATATTTCATAATTCCCTAAGGATGAGAATATTCCTTCTAGAATATTACCTTGGGTTAGGAGACTATGGAGTCTTCTAAAAGGTAATTAATTATTAGGAATATTATCCTATATGGGAAAAAGAGATGGAAGATAATAAGGATTCCTAAACCTAAAGGAATAAGCCCATATTTAGCACCTCCTTTAGGTCCCTATTGTAGCCTATAAATACACTAAGTCCCCTAACCTCTTGGACATGCTTTACACGTTTTGTCTCCCCGAAGGGCTGGAGAAATTCGGCCTCTTCAAGCGAGAAAGAAAGAGAGAGATTCTTCTTCGAAAGAAAAATCGGTTAGCACCGTAAGGTCTTAGAAGAAGATGATCAAGAGGTTTTGGAAAATCTAATAAATCGCTCCACCAAGATTTATTAGAGATCGTGTAAAAGTCATACAATAGAAGATTCGAAGGTTGTTATTCGTATCCCGTCGAATAAATATATTCCCAGATCTGTTCGTACTTTGTTGAAGGAAAGCGTTAAATTAATGCAACACCTTGTGTAGCGCGATGGCGTGCGGCGCTGTCTTCTCCGTGCGGAGGTCGCGTGTTCGATCCCTTCTCCTTGGAAAAATAGGAGATTTTTTTGCCACCAGCAGATAGGAAATAGCGCGGGCCGCGCGACCCGATTTCAGCCCGCGCAAAGCCCTCGCACCTCACTGCTTGGAGCCCGCAAGAAGCCCGCAACAGCCCGCACTCTCTGGCCCAATTACAGCGTTGCCTACGGCCCAGTTGCTCACCTTGTGCGGCCCAGCGCATCTTAAATCGTCCCAGAAGCTGTCAGCCTGGTCCAGCGTGTTCAAGTTCGGCCCAGAAGCAACCAGTAGCTACCA